ACTTCCTCTTAATTTCTTATCTTTTTAATATATTACTTTATTTTATTTAAAAATATTTTATTTTTTTTAAATGGAAATAATTAAAATAAAATTCTATTGCAATATAAAAATTTTCTCATAAATATAAAATAATATTTGTACATTATAATTTTTAATATTATAAAATTTAATTATAATATAAGCCATATATTTAAAAGCATTTACATATTATAATTTTTAATCTCTATATAAATTAACATAAATATTTTGAAAAAGTGTGATTTGATGAACTACTATTCAATGATAATATTTTTAATAGAGTATTTTTAGGATTTTTCTTTTCATTCGTTTATCTCTTTCAGTGATTTTTTATTTTTTATTTTAAATTAAAAGTTTAAATTATAAAAATTATCAGTAATTAAAAATAATTTAAATATTTATTTATTATTAATTTATAGTTATATAAAATAAAAATTATTAATCCCATGTATATCACATATTCTACAATACTAGTAGTAATATTGTAATTGTAATATGAAAATGTATGATCTGATTAGTAGGGAGGGGCAATACTGGAAATATAAAATGATGAAACCCCAATACCTACAAACCCTACTTATATATTCTCACAATCTGCCACACTTCTGCGCCTCTCGCTCTGCACAAACCCTAACCCCAAAGCCGGAACCCTAATCGCAGCAATCTAGCGAGTGAGTTTTCCTTCTCTTGCAACCAATTTCGTTTATTTGCACGATTTGTGTTACTAACAATTGTTTGTTCTCTGATTTTGGATTCAGATATGAAGGTTGTCGCCGCTTACTTGCTGGCAGTATTGGGAGGGAACCAATCCCCTTCTTCCAAAGATATCAAACACATCCTTAGCTCAGGTCCTTCCTTACTCCTAATTTCTCTTTTCTCCCTTTTTATTTTATATCCCATACGTTATTATTATTATTATTATTTTTTAGCGTTTTTTTTGTTTTATGTGTTGATGGTTGAATCCTGTGCAATGTTGTAGTTTTCACTTTTCCACACTAGATTTCGGGACTGGGTTCGTATTAGCGCATTTTTTTTTCGTTCAATTCTAGAATGTGGGGTAAAAGTTTTAATTTTTATATTTAATATGGCTAGGAATTTGTTGGACCGATAGTTAGAAAATCGAAACCATACTATGACAAAAAGAGATGTAGTTTGTTAGTTGGTTATCTATTTAGTTTTGAAAAAATTGATCCTACATTTTCAGTTTCAATGTTACTGTTGAATGGGGCTAGGATGCGTTTGTAACCTGCCAGCTACGCATTGTTTTTCTGCTTGATCTGTCTCTGTTGCTTACCTATCTACTCATGTTTAGAGTTGTGGTTGTTGATATATGTATTTATTTAGAAAAATTAATTTAGGAGTATGTCTTTTTGTTAGTTGAGTTTATGGAATCCATGATGAAGTGACCAAAACTTTGAATTTTGTATTGTTTGGAGTGAGTAAAACTTTGAATTTTAAATTATTTGCAGTGATTGTTTTTGTTTGTGAAGTGAGTAAAACTTTGAATTGTTTGGAGTGATTGTTTTTGTTTGTGATCTATAGTTGGTGCTGAGGCTGAGGATGAGTTGATCGAGTTGCTCTTGACTGAAGTCAAGGGCAAAGACTTCAACGAGCTACTTGCTAGCGGAAGGGAAAAGTTGTCTGCGGTGCCTTCTGGTGGTGCTGCTGTTGCTGTCGCTGCCGCACCTGGTGCTGCCGCTGGTGGTGCTGCACCTGCTGCTGAAGCAAAGGAGGAGAAGAAAGAAGAGGAGAAGGAGGAGTCTGATGATGTAAGTTTCAATATTGTGGCACTGATTGTTATAGTTTAGTTGATTTGTGATTCTCAGCTGATGATTTTGTATGTCTTCTTTGTTCTGCAGGACATGGGTTTCGGTTTGTTCGACTAAAAGGTCTGAAGTTATGTGTCTTACTTTTGCAGTTCCCTTTAGTTTTTTAGCCCAATTCACAAGGTTTTGTTACTTGAGTTACATATTGTTTTAGGTTTTATGGGTTTTGCCTCGTCATTTGAGACAATGTAATGGCATTAAACTGTTTGATATAATTTAGTAATGTTTGAATTTAATTTGTTTGGTCTCTTGGCCATTATTTTCTGTTTGATTCAGTAATTTTTCATTAAAAAATAAAATATTTCGTTTATTTTGATAAAAAAAAACTGTTAAAAAGTCTAAGTGCACTTAAAATATTTTAAAAAAAGCAGAATTTTATTAAAATTCTGTTTAGTATTTTCAGTAGCTTCGAAAAAAACAAATAATAAAAGCATTTTGATAAAATCTCTAAAATTAAATCGCTGTATACATTAAAATCAATTTTTTATAAGCTTGAATGGAAGTCCCGTTAATTATATTTCATAGCTACCATGGTAGGAGTCATTTTCTTATCCGCTGCCCCCTTTTTTTTTATATACACAATTTAATCATTTAAAGTCTCTTGCGCTCTGGTGAAAGGGGGATGATGGAAGAAGTATTATCCTCTGGTGAACTGAAAATTTGTTTTTATTTAATATTTATGTTGCGTGGTTTTTAACATGCTAAATATAGGGCGGCTGTTTAAAATTACCTTCGTTTTGATCCTCTCAACGTGCGTTTAACTAATCCAAAATCGCGAATGGGAAAATATTCGGAAATCTGTTATTACCTGAAAAAATAACTATAAAATGATTTCTTATTCTTATTATAATAATGTAAAAGGATTTGATAGAGAAAAATCTTCCCTTTTTAGAACAACGAAAAAAAGAGAGTAAAAGTGTCTAGTTGGAACTGGAAACGTAAAATGTGATTGAATGAATCTCTTAGTTACTTGTGAGATTGAGATAGACGAAGGGGTTGTGATTCTTGGACTAAGAAAAAAATTCTAGAAACAAAACGTGACTTAAGAAATGTGTGAATTATCCACGTTCAACTTAGATCTGATGCTTACAAAAATACACCTAAAAGAATTGGACGAAGAGACTTGTAAAGTAAAATTCTTATGCTGATTTGTTCTATTACCATGGATCATCGTCACTATTATCACTATTATAGTTATCTTATTTAATATAATTGTCATCAAATATCAATTTATCATTATCATTATTTTAACTATCATTTTCAATGAATTAATCAATAATTATTATTATTGGTGTCCTCTTCACTATAATTAGTTATTATTATTGTTATTATTATTATCATTATTACCATAACTATTAATTACATTCACCATTAATACTCTTAATATATTGGTCACCATTTTCATGCATTTCATTTACAACCTATTTTTTTTATGAGGGAGATAGAGAAGAAATAAGGGGGTAAATGAAGAAAAAGGCGAAGAGAAATAATTTTGTTGATTTAGTAGCAAAGAATTGTCAGTGAGAAATAAAAAGGTGCAAGTCCCATATCTTTTTTATTTTCACGCTGATATAAAAAAAATATCAAGAAAAACTATACGCTGATTGCATATATTTGTGATTTTTTACGGGCAGTTTCAAAACTGTCAAAATAACATTAATTGAGTTTTTTTTATATAAATATTTCTGATTGTCAAAAATGGTTACAATCATATTTTCTTAAAATTTTTTAAACATATATTAACAGTTTCAAACCTCCAAAAAATATTATTTGAATAAAAAAAATCTTATTTGTATACACAAATTCAATTTTAAAACTTTTATTTGAATAGTAATAATTCAAAATTTTTATTTGAATAATTTTTTTCTTATTAGAATAAAAAATATTATTAGATTACAAAACTTTTTTATATTATATCGAAAAATGCTTATGCACTTTATACTTATTTATGTTGATTTAGTTTTTAACCTAAAAAAATTACTCTAGAATTATTTACTTACTTTTAATTAGTTATTTATTTTATTTTAAAATATTATTTATTTAATTGTATAATTTTCTATTTAATTGATTAAAATAAAAATAGTTAATAAAAAATTATTTTAAAAAATATTTATTTTTAATTTCATTCCTTTTAACTCTACAACGAATGAAAACAGACCATAAAAACCGCAAATAGCAAGCCTTGTCTAAACACTTACTATAGGTTTTAGATACGTAAGACGTGTATAAAAAACTTTGCCTTGACAAATTTAATGAAACACTTATGCCTATATAGAGGGGGCGGGGTAATACGTATAGGTTGCAGCAATTAGAAATCCACTTCTCAGCAAAATAATTTATACCACATTTAAACATAGCAATAACAAGGAATATATATCGTATCGTACATCAGGTATAGTATCAAAAAAAAGTACACGTTAAGAAGTGATATTGCCTAACTGCATTCCTTTGGCATGCAAAGCGCATCACACTGGCAAAGCAGAACACAGAAGACAGCCTCAAGTTAAAGCTTTAGCCGTAAGTCAGAGGAAACCAGTGAAGCAAGTGTGTTAATGAAATACAATGGCCATATAATTGCCTCACTTGATAAGAAACCTGTGGAGCTAAAGGAAGAAACTTGAAATTATGCCGTTAAAATTTCTTCAGCACCAGAATAGATGACTGACACCATCAGTCATACAAGGAAAGGACCTTCAAGACTTTGGTACAGTAACATTTAGAATTTTAACATCTTGATATGGCTTATCTGTCTTGTCTGTCTTCACTTTTTCTATAGCCTACCAACATCAAAATTTTCAATTGGTTAGTCTTCTCAAATAGACATTTTGTCAAAAGAAACATAATACATTTTAGAGGAAACCTTAAAAAGAGAGAAATTCATCGAAAGATACATACATATATATATATATATATATATATATATGTATGTATGTATGTATATACCATAAGGAAATTGAGAAGGAATTGTTTGAAAAAGATGGTTGATCAGGTGATATGAATGAGCAAAGAAGTACTAAATGGTTAAGCAAGAGTAGAAAAGCCAATTTACCTGTACAACATCCATTCCCTTCGCAACTCTACCAAATACAGTGTGCTTGTTGTCCAACCATGGAGTAGCCACTGTGGTGATAAAGAACTGAGAACCATTTGTATTTGGGCCCGCATTTGCCATTGATACTGTGAAAGGCCTATCGTGCCTCAAACTGCAAGATCAAAAAGATTTGCTAAGTTCCATCTGAGGCAAAAACCATACCAGGATGTTTCCCGGTACTATTAGCATATTCCCCCAAATAATCACTTTGATCCTCATAATTTGAATTGTTTAATTTTGGTCCATAAATTTAAATAATGGACAATTTTAGTCCCACAAACAATTTACCATCCAAAATTTAACAAACGTTAATGATGTGAATTTTATGCTAAATAAACATTAATTATATATCATTTAAATTCTTACATGTCAAATTATTTAATATTGAAATTTTAAAAATTTTAAATTCAAATCATTGAAAACAAAATGAAAAGGGTATTGATATCAATCGCAGTGAGAATTTTTCACTAAAATAGAATTTTTTTTAAAAAAATTTACCAAAAAAGAACCTGTTAAATTTTTATTTTTTATTTTTGGATTTTAGATCTGAGCATGGTGTAAAACTGGATCCAGAATGACCCGTTCTCCTTACAGCACTTGCAGAACGACCCGTTCTCCTTTTAGAATGGGTCGTTCCAGATGCAAACATACACACATGATGAATGGATCAAAACGGGCCTTGGACGTTCAAAATTAACAGACAACGCGTGCAAGCAGAACGGCTCATTCTGCTTGGAGAATGGGTCGTTCCAGTTGCAACATTAACACACAACCTAAACTACAAACAGAAAAGAAAAGAAAATTTAAACACTACTCAGAATTCGGTTCCCCGGAAACCGAATTATGAGCAAAACAAAAAACAAAAAAAAATTGAAGTTCAAAATTCGGTTCCCCGGGAACCGAATTCTAAGTGTGAACAGTAAAAGGTGTTACTTCTATAAATAAATTGGAACAGGTGCTGTTTTGGCGAATTTTTTTTTAAAAATTTATTTCAATAAAAAATTCTCGCAGTGATTGTTGGAAAGAGATGATACTGGTAGCGATCATGGTGGAGGTGCTGGAGGAGTACACGGCGTTACTGGCGAGGGTGTTGGTGAAGAAACAAACGGAAGGGTACGGAGGATGAGAAAACGAATTTGAATTTAAAATTTTTAAAATTTGAATATTAAATAATTTGACATGTAAGAAATTAAATAATATATAATTAATGTTTATTTAGCATAAAATTCATATCATTAACGTCTGTTAAATTTTGGATGGTAAATTGTCTGTGGGACTAAAATTGCCCATTATTTGAATTTATGGACCAAAATTAAGCAATTCAAATTATAAGGACTAAAATTGCTCCTACACTAAATTAGGAGGACCAAAAGTGTAATTAAGCCAAATTAACAATCTATAAGCATACAGAAGATGTAAAACACATGAGGGAATGGAACTTCCTCTAGTTGGTTGCATTAGTAACAATGAAGTATATGTATGGAGAGGAAGGAAACAGAAGGAATTGAAATAATTTTAACCCTTCAGTGAGAAAAAAAAAATCTTACTTTAATCCCAAGCAAGGTTGCATATATAAGAAAATTGGAACTTTCATCAAAAACTGCATTTGGAAGTGGTGCACTTTCTGTCTTTTCTATTTCCTTCTCAACAGCCATTCTTCGACCAAAATCAATGGCTTCCAACCGATATAATGGAGCATCACTTCTTTGGAGGTCTTGAGCAACCTATCAATAAATCAATTCATTTACCACCAAATGTCCAAAAAGCAACGAGAAACGGTGAAATTCTGCTAAAACTGTTACCTCCAGGGATTCGTCATAAACTCGCCTTAGTTTACCTGTTCTGAACCAAAATACACGTATCCTACGGTCAGGTGATGTAATGCAAAATTGTTTACCGTCTGGACTGACCTAAAAAAGACACAACTCAGTTAATAAATACCATGAAAGTCAAACACCAGATATCTAGCTTTCATAAACCATCTAAATAACATAAATAACATAATATTGAATTATCAACAATATTAACTGAAGTATGTTCATAGAACTGAAGTACCTCAATACCCGATACAGAAGTCTTGCATTTTGCAATTTCAAAGAGGTTAGTATCACTTTTCAGTTTAAAATTGACCCTACAAGCACCCAAGGAAAGGATTAAAATGTTTTCACAACTGCAGATTAAATCATCCAAAACACATGCAATCAAGAATTTCCAGAGCTGTCATAAACAATCAAAAAATTACCAAAACAGTCACAAATTCACAATATACGACAACCACAAATTTGTTCAAATATTTGGCACTTCATGGCATAGCTGATTACAGATTTACACTACCAGTTCATTTTGTACAGGCTATATTTATTAGCAACTTATTGGTGACCCAACTCAAAAGACTTAGATCAGTAACCAAAAGGTCATTGGTGGCAGCAAGGAGGCTATAACACAAAAATAGGCAGAAGTTTGGGGAAAAATATGCCACTTCTGAATAGAACAGAAAATATGTTTAGTCTGGCAGGATTTTAGTGAAATATCCTGTAATGGAACAATTGGAATCAACATGTAATTACCATAATTAAACATGTGAATTCACTTCAAATTGACCTGATCTACATCTATATCCATGGTTGAAGTCAATAGCACTTAAATATTAATAATTTATACGAAATAATCCTGATCATATTATTAGTACTGCACAGTATTTATATTCATTCGATGAGAATGAATTAAAATGCAAAATGGGGCTTCAGAATTTGCAGGTTTTAAATTATCTTAATTTATTCAACACAACAATAAAAGAGTGAAGCATCAACAAATGGTATTGCCAGCCATCAGTAATTGAACCATGATGAGTCATTTATAATTATATTTTATACAAAATGGAGGGAGGCAGAGCTATAATAAGACAAACATAAGTACGTACTCATCCTCTGGGAACTGAAGTGTATCAGGGCTCCAGTATTCAATTATCCCTTTTGCATCTGCCGAAAGTACAGAATCACATATAGAATTGTACTTCATAACTTTAATAGGACCCATATGTATCTGAACAAAGGAGCAAGGAATGGTAAAATTGTTCAATTAAATTCTGAAAAATATCACCCAAACAAAGAGGCTTGTGCATTTTGAAAGATAGTTATATAAAAATTAATTTAGAATTGGAACCTCTTTGGAGATGATAGGATCATTTGTACCAGCTCGTGCATCATATATGTGCACAAAAGACGAGTTCCTATCACTAATGGCAAGCTTAGCTTTGACATCCCCTTGTTTGTAAACCCATTCAATAGCACCGGGGGTATATGGCAAGCGAATCATGACCATCATGTCAAAGTTGACTACGTCATATATTTTCACAGAGCGATCATTTGATATTGTACAGCAAAGCAGACCATCAATACTAACCTGCATAACTGAAATAAGTCACGGTTGATGACAAGTAGTATAACAAGAATATTTTAAAAACATAAATACATAAATCACCACGAGAATAAGATATCACTGGAATAAACTTTCAATGCCTAGTAAATCAGATATACAGCTTAATAACATAATATATCAGAGAATTGAAGCAAGAATCAATAAAATAAGATTTATAGCAAAAGGGTCATGTCAGGCTAACAAACTTACAGCTAGGCCTTCAATTGGACCAAGATGTGATCTAAAGTGTTTGGCAAATTCAATACCAACAGGCCTTTTCTTCCAAAACTTCAAATGCCCTGAAACAATAGTAAGGCAGCCACAAAGAGATTAGCCATAATGTCATTCCAACCATAATACTATTTTAAAGAATCAGAAAACTTAATTAAGATCATATGATGCCATATAACGTGTTAATTATGTTAACTCTTCGTTGTTATATACCATGGAATGTTTTATAAACAAAATAACAAACCTAGACAAAAGCTTATAGAGGTAGAGAACAACTAATAGGACCACTCCATTCAAATCTCAGCGGACTACTCACAAATTTTAGTCAATATCAAAGTGTGTGAAAGCAACAGAAATGACAATGAGAACATGGTATACCATCGGCACTTCCAGTGATGAAAAATTCCGCAGGTGAAACAGCGACATGCGTAACCACATCTCGGTGCATATAACTTTTCTCGTACCTGCATCAACAGCAACAATAAGAAAGTGCCGAAATCCATAACACTCATCTTGAAAATTTCTCAATTGGTAGAGAGAAAACCCTAATTTGAAAAGTAAGGTGCAAATGGAAAAGAAGTTGAGCGCACATGTTGGCGGAGGGCAAAGCGTCGAGGTAGGCCTGCTCGAACTGAAGGGGTCGCTTGGGCCGAGCCCGTGGGGCCGGGCCCGGGCCTATCAACTGTTCCTCCTCGCTCGCGTTGGCGCCATTCTCGTGTTCCTCCATCTTCGACGCTTCGACGCTAATGTGGTGTCTTCCTCAAAACAGAAGCTTGTTCTGAACACTGGAGAGTGCGTCAAAACTCAAAAGTACTGTCACTGAAACTAAACCCTAAAACGGTACGTCGTTTCCTAATGTAAAATTCTAAACTGCAAACGCAAAATGGATGTTGTTGGGTTGGGCCTTACAACTTCTTAGTCGCTAGCCCAATCCAAATAATCTAATGGAGCTACCTATTTTTATTATAGTTTTATTAATTTCTATTATGTATGGACAGAATTTGTACTTGGGTAATTGATATTATAGTTTTTATATAATAAAAATAAGTTATTTACTATATTTAAAATTTAAAGTGTATTACAGAAATTTAATAAAATTTTACTATTAAATAAAAGTTGCTAACATTTTCTTTGATATTATAATATGAATAATATTATAACTTTTTATTAATATTTTATAAAAGTAATATGAAATTAAAAAAAATAATAATTATATTTAATATCTTGAAAATATAAAATAAAAATCCAAAACTGTTTTTTTTTCTTTAGTAAGTAAAAAAAATAGTTTATAATTAATCTCTTTCTTTAATATGAAGGAAATTTAGGGTTTATTAACTTGATTAGACTTTACCTATTTCTCAAGTTTAAAGTTAAAGGTTTATTTTATAAAAGGACTCTTATATTGACGAAGAAATTTATATATTATTTAAACATTTAAATCATTTTGTGAGATTGTTTTATTGATAGTTAGAAAGATAGGTAGTAGTCAGATTTTTATTTATGAAATACCCATAAAAGAATGTTAGGAAGATGGGTCCATATAGAAGTGAAAAAACGAGAAGTCCAGAAGAATCCAGGAAGCAAAAGTGGCGTGCAATGATGGGAATATGCGAATATATATTGTAACAACCGTGTGAAACTAAAACTTGTCTATCTTCATCAATCAACAACCTAGAGCCATTTCCTCTGTAACACCTCTTGTTTTGCCTTAGTTAAAAGTAAGCATATCCTTCTTTTTTTAATAATTTAACTTCATTTTTACTTTCAGTCATTTTGTTGTTTTGCTTATCTGGATTGCTTGTTAATTTGCTCCTCGTCGTAGTGTGTTTCGATGGATCCAATGTTTTTTCAATCTGTGTCAGAACATACATGTTGCGGGCGACAAATAAATTTTGAAATTTTATCTGCTTTATTTGAAGTAACTTAATGCCCTGAGAACTAAAAGTTACAAGTAATGAAAGTATTATGGCATTTGTATAGAACAGAGCAGCCAAATAGATACTTCTTGTATTTGCCGGAAAAAAAAAAACATAGTTACTTGTATTCCGAGACAGTCGTGTGTGAACCATAGTTGTCTGCAACTTGATTCATTTGTTGCTAGATGAACTTTGTTCATGTCAGTTACTAAAGTTTTTTTTTTTTTAAATATGAGGGACCAAATTGATAGGTCGTGGTGATTTTATGGACTAAAATTATGATTTAATTGTCGATAATACACTCTTGTGGGTGAGAAATACGTAATTAGAGTGTATTACTGTAATAAAAGCATTCCTTTGAAGCTAGGCAAACAAGGTTTACCCTTAACGAAACATCCTATTGAGGGTTAATTCAAGCTGCAAGAGAGGTCTTCAGTGGTGTTTGTCAATTAGTTTGTTACATTTATGTGCAAGAGTGTTATTTATGCTAGATTTGTTTCATTTATATTTTAAGTTTTTGCTTTGGGACGACAAAATTAGTGAGTTGAATGACATATGTTGCTCGTCATCACCCACAACTAACGCCTTTAGATGATAAAAGTATAGTTGATGTTTAGTAGAATGGTGCTGCATTTATTTTTAATCGTATGATTTTCCATCTTTAATATTTCTCCTTTGGTTGTCAATGTCATGCTTGATTTTTTTTTTTGGTTCGTCCCCTGGAGTATCCACCGCCAATAGGTGTGACTAATCTCCTCGCTATATTGGAGGCACCTCAAAGAGTGGGATAGCTGGTCTCAAGATTTAATGCGGCTGCATACACAAGGCAGGATTCGAACCCCTGACCTTGCTTTTTTCTCCTTGTATATATAATATGTAGTATTAATTAAAATCAAATTAAGTTAGTAAATAGGTGGTAGATGGTCCAATCAAACTCATATTATACTATTTTTAAAAGAAAAAAAATGTCAAAATTTTGATATGAAAGATGAAAGATTAAATAATTATTTAATTATTTATTTAGAGAGTTTAAAAATGAAAAAAAATTATACAATATTTTCAAAATTATGAAATCTAGTGCATAGCAATTGTAATATTAATATATATAAAAATGTGAAATTATATATTTAATATTACATGTTTGTGTATAAGTATTTTTTTCACTGTCTAAACTTTCTGATCTATGACCGGGTAGAATGTTGTTTGTTTCTGATACATATCATCATATTTTCCCCTTCTTTGTAATAGTGAAAACATTTATGAGATAATATTTAAGTGAAGCAACGAGTAGTTGCTACATTATGCAGGATGTCGGAACCACCGTTTAGACCACGAGAGAAACTTATTGAGAAGCAAAAGTATTTCCAGAATATCCATAAGCACACATACTTAAAAGGACCATATGACAAGATTACATCTGTTGCAATACCACTTGCACTAGCAGCATCTTCGTTGTATCTGATTGTAAGTTTACTTATCATAATGCTGTCACAAATTTTCATATGATCTATAGTTCTATACTGACTTTATTAGATTCAATATATATCACCCAGTCTTTTTTTATTGTGGTGCTATATATTTTTAACATTGTTTTATACATTTTGTTCAGGGAAGAGGGATCTACAATATGTCACATGGAATAGGGAAGAAAGAATGACTTGCAACTTTTTCTCTGCTTGTATGTTTTGTGCCTTAATAAATTTTCTTAGTTTTGAGACTTTGTTCACCAAATCACTGAATTGAAGTTCAAAACTGGGTTTTATGTGTTCTTTAGATTGTTTATGCCTTTTCAACCTGTGTAATCAGTATCATCCAGCGATCAAAATAGTTGCTTTTTTAAAAAATGATAAAAATTACACGGCACAACTACACAAGACTCAAAACATGTTGTTTTGGATATTTAGGAAGTTAATAAATCAAAGTATCTAATTGATTTGTAAATGAATTATTTTTATAGGATATCTTTAATTTAAAATTAATTTTTAAATTATATATAAATTAATATTTACTGTCTTTTCTATTTATTTATATAAATAAAAATAAAGATAACTTTAACTAAGATGAAACTTAAACATAGGTAATTATAATTATTTAATACTTCAAAAACCACTAAATCAAATTGTTATATAAAATTAACTTAAACAATGTATTTAACATATTTTTAACTTAAAATTATATATTTGATTATATATTAATTTATGTTGTTTATCCAATTTATAGTTTGTTTTTTTGTTAGTATTATATTGACTATAATTTTTTTAAAACTTCTCAATATAAATTTTATTGAAATTTATAAATATGTGATATTTATAATATGAATAATTTTCAAAGGATTGATAAAAGTTAGATTATACACTTCAATTAATAAGCTATCAATTTGACCATTGACCTATTAATTTAGTACCTTGATCAATTTGATGGTTGGTCCGATTTTTAAAACATTGTATTAAAAAAAGAATAGTAAAAATAAAAAATAAAATATGATAGAGATGTCAAAAGAAATGGTAGCACACGAGCATAATATTTTTATTGTTCTTCATTTGTTGTGTTTCCTTCATAATTTGAAGATGATTGTAACTTTATTGAATTTTTATGTTTAAGATTTAATTTTATTATATAGTCACTAAAAATTAAGATTTTCACATTGTATATGTGTAAAATAAAATTTAGCTTAAATAAAAGTTTTGTCCCTTTAAAATAAAATTACTTTAATTTTAAAATTTTTTCTCAAAATAACTATCAAGCAGGGCCAACCTAAGTCTCTTCATCTCAAATGGAATAGTTCTAAGTCTTTTTTGTTTTTGTTTTGCATTAGTATTCTAAGGTCTTGTCTTAGATTAATCTAGCTCAAATGAAAGATAAATAATGTCTCATCAATGATTGTTTCTGCGAAGGATTGAACTCAGACACTATTCGAGCAATTCAATTTTAGATTTAGTACATTAATTACTTGTATCTAACTCCTTGATTATTCTATTTCTCTTTTAATTGTTTGTATAAATATAATTTCTCAAATAAAAATTGTATTACCGTTTAACTTTTTATGGGTTGAATGCCTAATGATGTCCAATTGCATCATGTCTTATTCACATACCACATGCAACACGCGACATTGAATAACTCTTTTTTTTAGGTTTGAATCAAATTTTGAGATTGTATCAAAATAATAATCAATACAAGATAAACTACAGTCTTTATACTATCTAAATCCAAATTTTATAAAAAAATAAAGAAAAAATTTATAATTACTAAAGTTAAAACTTGTCCATTTTATTTAAATTAAAGATATATTTAATTTTTTTTTATAAAAGTTATATCTTCTATAAAAATTCATGATTGATAAATAATTTTATCTTGAAAGCATATGATTAGAGATTATGTCTCTGATCAATATATATATATATATATATAATTTGAAAAGATTTTGTAAAAGATTATTTTTTGTAATCAACTTAATTTTTGTACTTGGAATAGTTTGTTATTTCTTGACTAAGGACTCATATCATACACAAAATCTAATAATTGATTATCATAATTAAGTACTAAAATACGTTATCCAATAACAAAACAAAATTCTCACAAAATATGGTCATTCTAAAGGTCTAATAAAACATATTAGTTAAGTATAAAGTCTCCATCCCAAGATGAAGACATGTAGAATATACGTTTGAATGCTCTAACTTTAGATAAATAACTAAGTTATCTCTAGTGTGTTTTTCAAACCAGAACATTTTGGTGTTCACCATGAGACTCGATGAAATTTGTCGAGGCCACACAAATATTTTGCTCTTTTTTAATAATTTTTAAAAAAATTATTATATGCATTGTTAACTAATAATAAATTTACTTAACATTTATGTGATTCTTACTCCATTTTAAATTATGTCAAATAAAATTAAACTAATATAATTCTATAATTGATATTTTATATTAAAAAATTTGTTTTTATTTTTTTTACAAATATTTAATTAATTGGTTTAATTGCACTTTTTGTCCTCCTAATTTAGTGTAGCAGTAATTTTGATCCTCATAATTTGAATTGTTTAATTTTGGTCCATAAATTTAAATAATGGACAATTTTAGTCCCACAAACAATTTACCATCCAAAATTTAACAAACGTTAATGATGTGAATTTTATGCTAAATAAACATTAATTATATATCATTTAAATTCTTACATGTCAAATTATTTAATATTGAAATTTTAAAAATTTTAAATTCAAATCATTGAAAACAAAATGAAAAGGGTATTGATATCAATCGCAGTGAGAATTTTTCACTAAAATAGAATTTTTTTTAAAAAAATTTACCAAAAAAGAACCTGTTAAATTTTTATTTTTTATTTTTGGATTTTAGATCTGAGCATGGTGTAAAACTGGATCCAGAATGACCCGTTCTCCTTACAGCACTTGCAGAACGACCCGTTCTCCTTTTAGAATGGGTCGTTCCAGATGCAAACATACACACATGATGAATGGATCAAAACGGGCCTTGGACGTTCAAAATTAACAGACAACGCGTGCAAGCAGAACGGCTCATTCTGCTTGGAGAATGGGTCGTTCCAGTTGCAACATTAACACACAACCTAAACTACAAACAGAAAAGAAAAGAAAATTTAAACACTACTCAGAATTCGGTTCCCCGGAAACCGAATTATGAGCAAAACAAAAAACAAAAAAAAATTGAAGTTCAAAATTCGGTTCCCCGGGAACCGAATTCTAAGTGTGAACAGTAAAAGGTGTTACTTCTATAAATAAATTGGAACAGGTGCTGTTTTGGCGAATTTTTTTTTAAAAATTTATTTCAATAAAAAATTCTCGCAGTGATTGTTGGAAAGAGATGATACTGGTAGCGATCATGGTGGAGGTGCTGGAGGAGTACACGGCGTTACTGGCGAGGGTGTTGGTGAAGAAACAAACGGAAGGGTACGGAGGATGAGAAAACGAATTTGAATTTAAAATTTTTAAAATTTGAATATTAAATAATTTGACATGTAAGAAATTAAATAATATATAATTAATGTTTATTTAGCATAAAATTCATATCATTAACGTCTGTTAAATTTTGGATGGTAAATTGTCTGTGGGACTAAAATTGCCCATTATTTGAATTTATGGACCAAAATTAAGCAATTCAAATTATAAGGACTAAAATTGCGCCTACACTAAATTAGGAGGACCAAAAGTGTAATTAAGCCTAATTAATTTTTAGGCAAGTATTGGTATACTCAATACCAAATAAAGACGGGGATGGATATACAAATTCCATATTCGTTGGTACGGGGATGGGGACAGGGACATGTATAGTGAAACCTGTATCCATCCTATTATATTGTCATCCTTAAATCCAACTATCGTGCATTGGTTCAAAAGACGTGTAAGTCAAAAATAATCCAACCATCGTGCATTATCTTGGAAGATGTGTAAGTTGAAAGCAACTCAACTATCACTCACAAAATTGTCTCAGAAAAATTATGTAAGTTAGAAACAACTCAATCATCATGTATCGATTCAGAAGACGTGTGATTCAAAAACAATTAAACCATCACGCATAAAGTTGACTTGAAATCCTAGTTAAAACTAGGCTCGTACTTAATATTTCAAAGCTTGGAAACTTTCTACTATGTGTTCACCTTAGTGGACTGTCTCAACATGTAACTAAAACGTGTTATCTAAAATACTATTTGACTTAATCTCTACACACTTCATGCTATATAGGTTGATAGGCAAGTGAAAATCCTCGCCTATAACTAAGATGTGTTATTAGATGAGCTTTTATAGAAAATTATTTTCTGTAACTAACTTAATTTTTTACTTACAATAGCTCATCATTTTCCCGACTAAGGACTTAAACTGCGCACAAAATCTAATCCCTAATGACTATAATTGAGTACCAAAATATGTTACCCAATAACAAAATAAATTTTTCAAAAAATCTCGTAATTCTAAGAGCCTAAAAAGACATAATAGCTGAGTATAAAATCTCCTTCCTGAGATAAAGATAAACAAAATACATTTTTGAATGTTTTAACTTTGAACAAATGATTAAGTTATATCTAGTGCATTTTCTATACCAAAAAACATATATTTTAATTTTTATTCAATAATGTATAATTTTTTAAGAAGAAATGTATAATTTTAATTAAGTATATCTTGTATGATTTAAAAAATAAGTATTCGTATTATTTTAATTAAAGAATTGATTGATAAAATGAAAAAAAATTGATTTAAATTTTGTCTAATAACAATTATTGGAAAACACAAATGTATGTCCTTGTTTTTGTGATCATTTGACCCGAGAGTCTCATCCACATTTTGAGATTATGATCTCTCTCTTTTTGATAGAGAGGAAAGAAATAGAAGATAAATAAAGTAAAAAATAATAAAAAGTGAAAAAAAATAAATGAAAAATAAAATAAAATTTGATTATTTGGTTAAATAAAAATGTGTGAAAAATAAAACATATATTCAAGAGAGGATAATAAAATAAATAAATAAACAAGTGAAACCCACCAAGGACGGACCCATGTAGAAGAGAGTGGGGGCATGTGCCCCCACTACCATTTGACACACACATATTTATTTTTATATATAAAATAATATATTTTTAAAAATAAAATAAAATATAAATTTTAAAAAATTATTTATTTATTTGATATTTATCAAAATTTTAAAAAAAATTGGTTCTCATATGTGATAAAAAAATACTCATTACTAATAAATTAATTTTTTTTTAAAGTTTAATTTTTGATAAAATAAAATTTATAGCATATA